ACGGGTTAACTGTTGTGAACTGGGAGTGAGTTGGTACTGCTGTGCTGAGAAAGGCAGAGTCCAGAGTGGGTAGGAAAGGGCAGAGTGGACCAAGGCTGTCTGTGTGCTGAGTCAGGGAGGAGGAGGGAGAAGGGGCAGAGAGTTCTGCTCTAACTCTCTCAGATGCAAAGCAAAGTTGGCCTACTGGTGGGGCGGGGGACTCGTGAAGTCAGTCCCTCTGCATATAGACACAGATGTGCCTCTACATTTGTTTTGTGCTATAAATTCTAAGTTTGTTATGTAAACTTAGGGGCTGGGAGAGATAGTACAGCAGGTAGGGTGCTGGTTTTGCATGTGTCCATCCCAGTTTCAATCCCTGGCACTGCAGGACTAACCTGAGCATCAGTGTCTGTGGTTCCCAAACAAACAACAACAACAACAACAATAATAATAACAACTGCAGTAACTGGATAAATTTTACACGAAGACATTACTTTTGCCTGAAATTTCATCATATGGTGAATATGTGGCTAGAAGAGCAGGCTTTCAGCTGATTTATTCCACATAAACATAAAGGGCTAACACTGAGGTCTGGGGAAATGCTTGTGGATGATGTCTATTTCCAGATGGAACTAAGGCAAAATACTGATTCCTAAGTAAATCTCTCTGAGCTGTTGATCTGATATTTTGCATCTTAAAGGGAACATACCCTTCATTATTTATTTTATTTTTCTACTTTACCTCCTATCCTCGGCAACCTTCCCAAGACTCTCAAAGGAATCTCAGTTTGTAACCATGAACAAGGATCTGTCATTTGTTGCTGTCTTTTTCCTTGTGTATCATGGATGAGTGAGATTATTTGGTATTTCTCCTTTTCCCTCTGACTTATTTAACTAATCCAGTGCCCTCCAGTTCCATCCACATTATAGTGAACTGCAAGATTTCATTTTTCTTGTATCTGAGCAGTATTCTATTTGTCTATATTCTGTGGCATCTTTTCCACTCTTTGTCATTGGGTGTTTGGGTTGTTTCTATATTCCTGGCTACTATATTAGTAAGCACTGCAATGAACACAGGTGTGCATGTATCTTTTCGAATTAATATTATGGAAATTCCTCGAAAAACGTAAAAATAGAGTTCACCCAGCAATTTCACTTCTCAGCATCTGCCCACATCCCAAACACAAAAACATTATTATTTCAGATATATGCACTCCCCAATTTTAATAAAGTCCCTTAAGTGATCGAAAGCTCACGTGAGTGGTGAGCGACTAATTGTGCCTTGGGAGAAGGTGTTTCTCATAGGAGAGGGCACAGTGGAGGCTCTTTACATCAGGGGAGATAAAGCTGATGCCAGAAGACCCATTCTAGCCGAGAGGCCAGAGAGCAGAAAGGAAAAGAGGCTTTTTCTCCTTTTCCAATGAGAGACATTCCATCTTATCTGCTGCTTTCCCTCCAGTCTCCTGCTGTACCGATACCTGCTGGCAACTCTATGGTGCATTTCTGAACAATTCTCACCTCCCTGGAGGTGAGACCACTTGGTGGTCCCGGTGGTCTTCACACCCCTACTTCGGACTGTGGGTGATGGTCTCAGATGGGGAAACTGAATGCATGGGTCACAACTAATTGGATATAAAATAAATTGATGGGTCTGGAGAAATAGTCCAGACCCATGCACTTTGCATGAGGCCAAGGAGTTCAATCGTGATAACCCTTAAGCCTGCCAGGAATGATCTGAGTGCAGAATCAGGAATAACCCCTGAGCACCACTGGGCACAGCCTCCAAATTAAAAAATAAAAATAAAAATAAGAATAAATTCATGAGTCCTAGACAGATAGTACAGGGGTTAAGGCATTTGTTTTGCATGTCTTCGACACTGGTTTGATCCTTGGTACTACATAGTTCTCCAAGCATTGCTGGGTACAGCCCTGGAGGCCCCTAGAGCTTCAAGGGTACCCAGGTACTCCCTGGCACTGTAGGGGTCCGGTAGCACCACATCCTGAACCCTTATAATGATTCCCCAGCAAGTTGACTGAGAATCTTTAGGAGGAGCCCCTGGGCCTCCTGAGCACCCTTTGGGAATCCTCAAAATTTTGACTTATTGATTTGAATATCTAGTTTATATACTTGGGGTTGCATAAAAATTTCTCGGGTGAAAAGGGGTGGCGAGCGGGAAAGTTTAAGAAACCCTGATCTGTGCTGGCTTAGGAGTAAAGCCGTGAAGAGAGGATGTGCCTGGGCAGGGCCAGGGACCGAGCAATTGCTTGAGAGAGAATCTCTGGGGCGTAGCAGGAGTCTGAGTGGTGGCACTAGACTATCTACCAGGTGGATCATCTCTGCTTCCTGGCCACAGACCTACGTCGCAGCATCTCTAGGATGCACAGGAAGCTGAAGACATCAGCCAATAGGATTGAAAGCTTGTTCCACCTTAGGTGAAGATTCCAGAAGTTGAATTTATCTGAGAACTCCCTTAGCCCTGGATCCAAGCATCGGTCATCTGTGTGTGTGTGTGTCCACTCGGGCTACAGTCGGACAAGGGAGCAACAGAAGAGATTTTTCCTGAAAGTGCTTAAACTGAATTTTGCAGGGATTTTTCTCATTTCTATGTACCCTGACAGTGAAAGAAGTTCCCTTCTATCTGGATGCCTTCTGCATGTGCTTCAGGCTGCACAGAGCATGATCCACTAATCTTGGAAAAGCCTCTGCAACCCTGAGTCATTTTTTTTAAAAGAAGAAATTTAACAAAGAACTGTGATTTACAAAATTATTGAGAGTTCAGTCTTAGGCATATAATATTTCAACACTGATCCCACCATCAGCATCAGCTTCTCTCCACCAGTGTTCCCATATTCCATCCCCACTCCCAACCCTCACCCCATCCCTGCCCTTTAACTTGACAGACACATTGCAAAGTTCAGTAGTTGCAGCTTAGACCTCATGTTTTCACTGTTGTTGAGCCTGGGTTTTGGATCCATGGCTATATAACTCACCCATATCACCAGTATAATAGAAGCCCTGATGCCTGCTCACCCATACCTTACCATTCTCTTCTTCCCCCCACTGATTTCTATCCTTCTCTGGCAATCCTGAAGTCTTTTTTTTTTCAGCTAAGATTTCTTTTATTTATTTATTTATTTATTGGTTATTGGGTCGTACCTGGCAATGCACAGAGGTTACTCCTGGTTCATGCATTCAAGAATCACTCCTGGTGGCACTCAGGAGACCATATGGAATGCTGGGAACTGAACCCTGGTCAGCCAGGTGCAAAGCAAACGCCCTACCTGCTGTGCTATCACTCCACTCCCGCCCCCGAAGTCTTAAAACTCCTCACCTAGCACCTTTTGTTGGTGCTTCTAAAGCTTGAAGTCTTCATTTTTCCTTGTTCTTTTTTATTTTCATTTTATTTTATTATTAATTTTTGGGGGGTCACATCCTGTGATGCTCAGAGGTTCCTCCTGGCTCTGCACTCAGGAATTACTCCTGGCAGTGCTTGGGGGACTATGTGGGATGCTGGGAATCGAACCCGGGTCAGCCACGTGCAAGGCAAACACCCTACCTGCTGTGCTATCACTTCAGCCCAACCTTTTTTTTTTAATATATAAGGGCCTCCTCAGCGGTGCTGGGGGGCCTGGGGGCCAGTATTCTCAGTGCTCTCAGTGTAGGCCTGATGGTGCTAGGCCTGGGATCCTGTGATGGATGCTGAAGATCCAGCAGTGCTGGGTCTATCAGGGCTACCCCTGGAGGAGCTAGGGGTGTCCATGCAGTGCCAGAGACTGAACTCAGGGCTTCACATATGCAAAGTACATCTCGCAGCCCTTTGATCTATCTCCCTAACTCCGGGACATCTTTTTTTTTAAAATTTTTATTAGTGAAACACCATGAGGTTCAGTTGTCGAGTTACAAATTTTTGTGCTTGGGTTTCAATTATACAATGATTGAGTACCTATCCCTCCACCAGTGCCCATTTCTATTTGTTAAATGAGCCCAAAGATGGGGTTTGAGTTGTTTTCCCAAATCCATAAAGTTAATGATGACTCAGAATGGTTCATATGATCATTAAATTGACTCTTCCCATTTCTCCACATTATCTTCACTGATCACCTAATTAGTGGCTCTCCTGGCCCAGAGTCTACATCTCCCCACAACATCAGTTATTACAATAAATGGAAGCAAGGGGCCAGATGTCAATGATGAACTATGCCAAATCAAGAAGTTCCAAGTCTATGGCTCTTTGAGCTCCAAGGGGTCTTCTGTTCAGCGAAGTGCTAGAGGTCACAAAGAAAGTAGCAGAATTGGGACTGGAGCAATAGTACAATGGGTAGGGCGTTTGCCTTGCATGCGACTGACCTGGGTTCAATTCTCAGCACCCCCGATAGTCCCCCCGAGCACTGCCAGGAGTAATTCCTGAGTGCAAAGCCAGGAGTAACCCCTGTGCATCTGTGCATTGCTAGATGTGACCCAAAAAAAGCAAAAAAATAAAAAGTAGCAGATTTTATGCCTCTTGTCTCCTTCCCATTGTTGTTCTGTCCATCTCTTTCCCATTATTCTTCTGTCCGTTTGTCCTTCTCTCTTGGAAAAAGGAGTTGTATTTATTTATCTACCTAGGTTCTGGGTCACACCCAGCAATGCTTAGGGATTACTCTTGTCTGTGCTCAGTTCTGGGAGAACTTGGGAAACCATCTGGGGTGCTGGGGAATGAACTTCAGTCAGCTGAATATGCAAACCAGCGCCCAACCCATCATACTACCTCTCCAGCCCCTTAAAAGGGAGTTGTTTTTAGCAAATATAATGGTATCTCCAAACATTTCCATATGATGAAAGAGATTTAATTGTAAGAAGAAAAAGAACAAAAGATCTCTATTTTGGGGCTCAAATTGTGCTGCTGTGTGTCACTCTTTCTCCCAGGTTCTTTAAAGAAGGAAATCCCTGTTTTTTTTTTTTTTTTTAATTTTCTCTTGACAAAGGGAAAAGAAAGGGGAGGGGGGGTGACAGTCTCACCCCAGAGGTGGGAGGGGTCTCACCTTGTGGAGTTGTGTTTTTGTTTCATAGTAGGCCATGACGGGGATGGATGCTCGGTAATAGGTCTCAAGGCGCTTGGCGATGGTGGCGGGGGTGGCGGGGGCACCCGGGTCGCTCTGGCTCCTCTGGAGAAGGCGGCTGGTCATGGTGTCGGCTGAGCAGTCCAGACAGATCACCAAGTGCGGGTCTCCAATCTAGGGGCGGGGACACACATGGTTAGAATTTCCACTCTGGAATGTTCTGGAGGGGGTTGGGGGTGCGCTGTGCCAACTCATTCTCTCTCAGCCTGGCTTTTGGGCTCCTCTCGAGGGTCCAGAACTAGGACTGGACTTCATGGTTCCTCATTTCTGCTCCAGGGGTTTTCCACATGCTGCATCACAGCTGGCTATTGCTCTCAGCTTTTTGTTCTCTACATGTAAGGTATCTTCTAATGAGAATATGGGCTGGAGTTATAGCACAGTGGGTAAGGCGTTTGCCTTGCATGCAGCCGACCTAGGTTCCATTTTTCCATCCCTCTTGGAGAGCCCGGCAAGCTACTAAGAGCATCCTGCCTGCACGGCAGAGCCTGGTAAGCTCCCCATCGTGTATTCAATATGCCCAAAACAGTAACAACAAGTCTCACAATGGAGACGTTACTGGTGCCCGCTCAAGCAAATCAGTGACCAACGGGAGGACAGTGCTACAGTGCTACATGTAAGGCGAGAGATTATACAATATGCTATCTGGAGTGATAGCATAGTGGGTAGGGCATTTGCCTTGCACATGGCTGACTCGGGTTCGATTCCCAGCATCCCATATGGTCCCCCAAGCACCACCAGGAGTAATTCTTGAGTGCAGAGCCAGCAGTAACCCCTGAGCAAAACAAACAAACAAACAAACAAACCCAAAAAACAGAAAACAAAAAACACCCCAATATGCTATCTGGTCTTCTCGCTAAAGAGGGTGTATGTGTGTGTGTGTGTGTGTGTGTGTGTGTGTGTGTGTGTGTGTAAGCAGCAGAACCAACCACCATCTGTTCCACCATCAGTCCCTAGGAGCACAGTGTGGTTGTGGTTCCAGGATGGAGGAGTGAGAACAACATAATGGCTGGACACACAAAAAGTAGAGTCAAGCTATGTAGGGTCAAGCCCTGGTGTGGCAACTATCTCCACAAAGGGCTTCATCAGCTCCTTGCCATGTGGAGCTCATTCCTCTCCCTTCTTGACTCTGAGCTGGCCAGTTACTACTGATGACACCACCTGTTTCCAGCAGTGAGCGTGGAAGAAGTGTTGCGAAATCTTGTCTGGTCAACTGCCATCTAAGACATCTAAGTCCTCTGTGGGAGGGTGGGAAGGGGGGGGGTATACCAAGGATGTTGGTGGTGGGAATGTGCACTGGTGTAGAGATGGGTATTTGGTCATTGTGTGATTGTAATTCAAACATGAAAGCTTGTAACTATCTCATGGTGATGCAAAAAAAAAAAATAGTCCAACTCCTCTAACTGCTGAGAATCAAGGAAGTTCACATGAGCCCCAAGTTTTATGGAGGGACAACGTGAACAGAATCGGCGCTGTGGACAGACAGGCCCTCATTTGTTTTAAATACCCAGCTCCAGTTCCCTACACTTGGCCTTATCCACAACTGCATAAGGGACCCAACTTGAGGACCTGTCAGCCAGTCGTGAATCTTATTGAAGAAAACAATATTCTTATTTTAAGCTACCTGATCTCAACTTCTTTGCATCCTCAGTTTTTTTTCATTTATACACTGAAGATGATTACAGAATTGCTCTATGGATCAAGTAAAATAAACCAGGTAAGTTTGTCTCTTGTCACAGAGCAAACATTTAATAAGCATTAGCTTTGGTGATGGTTTCCCCATTATTATGCCATCTCTGTGCAGAGGTTAGGAGAACTCAGCTCTCCTAACTCAGGTTAGGAGAGTCAGCATCTTACAGATGATGAAGAAAATGTTTTACTGAAGGGAGGACAGGAAACAGGGATAGGATCAGGAACAGCAATCTCCTCAAGCTCCTCTCAAATATTTCTTTGTGGGGCTAGTGAGATGGGACAGTAGCTCAGGCGCTTGCCTTACACACAGCTGACCCAGATTCAATCCCTGGCATTCCATGTGTCCCCCCGAGCCCACTAGGAGGGATCTTGAGTGCAGAGCCGTGTGGCCCAAAAACCAGAAGAAAAGAAAAAAAACTATTCTTTTGCTCCTAATATCTTTATGTCAGTGTTTTCTTAGTTATCAACGTCACTCCTGCTGCTCCCTCATGGTTCTTCCGCAATGGTTAGAGGGAGAGAAAAGGAGGTTCGCTCCCCACTTGGGAAAGTGCCTGGTCTGGACTGGGGAGGTCTCACAGAGAATGTGAGGAAATTGACGTCGATAGTGCTGGTCAAACATTTGTCTAATCTGCCTGCTCTTTTAGGAACAGAGAGGAAAGACTCTAAAAAATCTATGAGTGAAATAATTTTTGGGAATATGTCATGAAACTTTTCTCCATGCATGGAGTTGGAGCAGCAAGAACGGGTGGATGGTGTAGAAGGAAATAAAACCCTGCTCACCAGCAGAGGGCGTGCTTGGGAGGCGGCGTGGGGCTCCACACAGATCTGGGCTCCCAAGAGCAGCTTCCACAGGGGCAGTTCGAGCAAAGGGGGTCATTTTCCTCACTGCAGAGGCATTTCCGGCCACTCTTGGGGTCAGCAAAGATAATTCAGAGACAGACTCAGGTACAAATAGAGGCGCTAGGCCTCAGAGCAGAACTTTGCTAAACTAAGCCAGGAACTGAGAGGTGGCTTTGTTCTCCACATGGATGCTCAGACGATCTTTCTAGAGGCTGTCAACAGCACAGACATCACTTGGAAGCTTGTTAGAAACAGAAAGCCTCAGAAACAATCCCTGCACCACTGAACCAGAATCTGCATTTATTTGATCTGGTTTTGGTTTTTGAATCCCAGCCGGTGGTGCTCAACAGGCACAGCCTGGGGGACCTATAGGTGGTGCAGTGGATCAAACCAGGGTCAGCTGCATGCAAAGCAAGCACCTTACCTCCTAAACTACCTCTTCAGCTGAAGTCTGCACTTTTATTTTTATTTTATTTTATTTTATTATTTATTTATTTATTTATTTACTTTTTGGCTTTTGGGGTCACACCTGGCAATGCACAGGGATTACTCCTGGCTCTGCACTCAGGAATTACTCCTGGCGGTGCTCAGGGGACCATATGGGATGCTGGGAATCGAACGAGGGTCGGCTGTGTGCAAGGCAAACACCCCACCTGCTGTGCTATCGCTCCAGCCCTCTGAAGTCTGCACTTTTAAAAAGATCTATGAGGTGGGAGATGTGTGTCAAAAGTAGATAAAGGACCTCTCAGTATCTATATTGCAAATCATAATGCCCAAAAGTAGAGAGAGAGTAGAGGGAAATTGTCTGCCATAGAGGCAGATGGTGGAGTGGGATGGGGGGGGGGGGGATACTGGAGACATTGGTGGTGGAAAATGTGCACTGGTACAGGGATGGGTGTTCGATCATTGTATGACTGAAACTCAAACATGAAAGCTTTGTAACTGTATCTCATGGTGATTAAAAAAATGCTTAAAAAAATAAAGCTAGGTTAAATAAGTAACAAAAAAACTGGACTATTTCAGACAAAAAAAATCTATGAAGGCGGGAGAGATGCTGCAATAAGCCGAACACATGCTGTGCATGCTGAAGGCCAGGGTTCAATCCCTGGTCATTGATCGCAGAGCACCACCAGAAAAGGCCCCCAAGCACAGAACCAGGAGTAGCCCCTGGGCACCACTGGGTGTGGCCCTCAAAAACAAACAGGCATAAATAAGTAAAAAGAGTACATTATAAACGGACCACTAAATCTATACATGAAAAGCCTTATGAGAAGGTTAGGAGTAGTTATGCAGAGGGACAGCGATGCCATCATTCACACTGCCAAGAAAATTAAGAACATAAAAGACTAAAGGGCAGACTTTTAGCTAAGAGGCTCCATGGAAGGAAAAGTCGAGAGCAAAATACATATATTTCATTTCTGAGAGTATGAGTTGAATAAAAGACTGGGTCGATGTGGGAAAGTATTTTAGTTTCACAGGAGGGAATCAAGCTAAGTACAAGCCGTCTTTGAGATGATTCTAATATAGAAAGTGGGAACAATGATACCTCCTCGAATAGGAGTGTACAGATCAATAATGTGACATGGAAAGCGTTTAGTTCAGTTTCTGGGACATTTTATGTGCCCAAAAGATAACAGCTATTATTCAGTTAGTTATATATTCTGTTCACTCTCACTGGGTTATAATGAAGGAGGCGGGCACTATGGAACAGAGCCTGACAGGCTTGTATGAGGTGTGAACTTAGAAAACACAATATGCAGGGCTGGAGTGATAGCACAGCGGGTAGGGCATTTGCCTTGCACCGGCCGACCCGGGTTCGATTTCCAGCATCCCATATGGTCCCTCGAGCACCGCCAGGAGTAATTCCTGAGTGCAGAGCTAGGAGTAACCCCTGAGCATCGCTGGGTGTGACAAAAACACCAAAAACAAAACAAAAACAAAAACAAATACAATATGCATGTTCTATTAATTGATGCTCAAAAGATCTTCTATACAGGGGTTAGCAAATGTCATACTTCTCATTTTCAGAGGAGTCTTCAGTTGACAACTCACCCAGGGTCAAAACTAATCTATTACCAGAGATGATCAGAGATGAAAATTTAACTTTTCTGACTGTAGAGAACATAATGATGGCGCCTTATGTATTTATTGCTTAAGTTTTTAAATTTGGTTTGGGGGCCACACCTGGCGTGCTGAAGTCAGTCCTGGTGGTGCCTGGAGGACCATAACGTGCTAGAGTTCCTTCCTGGCTTCCTGCATGCAAAGCCTGGCCTCCAGCCCACTGGGTCCCTCTCAGGACTGAGCATGGGGTACTCTATGTGAGAGCCAACAGTGCTCCTCTGAATGGAGCTGACAAAGCCCATAGAGCTAAGTTCAGGGATTTGGCTTCAGATCCAGTCACGGTAGCTAGTCTCAAAAGAACAAGTGTTACACTTTTATTCTCTACCCATGTAATTAGGACTGAAGCGATAGCACAGCTAGTAGGTTGTTTGTCTTGCATGCTGCCGACCTGGGTTTGATTCCTTCGTCCCTCTCAGAGAGCCCAGCAAGCTACCAAGAGTACCCCGCCTGCACGGCAGAGCCTGGCAAGCTCCCTGTGGTGTATTCGATATGCCAAAAGCAGTAACAACAAGTCTCACAATGGAGACGTTACTGGTGCCCGCTTGAGCAAATTGATGAGCAAGGGGAGGACAGTGCTACAGTGCTACCCATGTAATTGATACCACCACCACCATCACCACAAAAAAAGCTGTAGAATCTTTACCATATATCTCATTTATCACATTTAACCACTTCTGGATTTCAATGGAATTATCTACTATCTCTAGATGTGGTTTTAAAAAATGACATTAATGCCAGAGCATAGTAAAGTAGATAAGGGACTTGCCTTGCACGTGGCCAACCCAGATTTGATTGCTGGCACTACATATGTTTCTCTGGAGGGATTCTTGAGCACAGAACCAGGACTAAGGCCTGAGCACAGCTGGGTGTGCACAAAACAAGCAACAAAAATGTGGGAACATCCAGGTATTTATTATGTGAAGTAAAATATTTATTATTCAGGGGCTGGAGCGATAGCACAGCGGGTAGGGCATTTGCCTTGCATGCGGCCAACAGGGGTTCGATTCCCATATCCTATATAGTCCCCTGAGCACCGCCAGGAGTAATTCCTGAGTGCAGAGCCAGGAGTAACCCCTGTGCATCACTGGGTGTGACCCAAAAAGCAAAAAAAATTATTATTATTCAGCACGGTGTATAACACACATTGGAAGAGTTGTGAAGCTGTGCTCCTAAAGCATACAAAGCTTTGTAAACCGATGTTACCGCACTTTTACAAAGGAAAGACTCAACAGGATGACATGTGCAAGGAGCAGGGTGGGACCCCTACCACAGCATGCTCTACTCTGGCTCCTTTGCTCCAGACCCCTCACCTGGGTGGCCCAAACAAACAAAAACAAAAAGGAAAGATATGTATAATACGTATTCTAAGTAGAATAAGCCAAGGACTATCATGCTGAGAGGAATCAGCTGGTCACAATAGGGCACATTGATTCCTCTTACATGGGGTGCCTAGAGAAAGGAGAGTGATGGTTGCCTGTGTTGGGGGGAGGGGCAGAGAGGAGGAGGGAATAGTCTGTCCATTTTACAGTCACAGCCAGCTGGGGCTATTTCTGACTCTGTGCTCAGGAGTGACCCCTGGTGGTGTTTGGACATCACACGCTGTGCCTGGAATTGAACCCAGGTTAGTGGGATGAAAGCACCTCAAGCCCTGAACCATTTCCTAGAGTCGTTTCAGGAATGAAGAACTTCAGTTACAAGATGGGAAGAGTATTGTGATTGGGATGTAAATCATATATGTACTTAACACTACTGGATCAGTGCTGGAGTGATAGCACAGCGGTAGGGCATTTGCCTTGCACGCAGCCAACATGGCTGACCCGAGTTCGATTCCTCCGCCCCTCTCGGAGAGCAAGCTACCGAGAGTATCTCGCCTGCAGGGCAGAGCCTGGCAAGCTCCCCGTGACGTATTCGATATGCTAGACACAGTAACAACAAAGTCTCCAATGGACACGTTACTGGGCCCGCTCGAGCAAATCGATGATCAACGGGAGGGCCTTTACTTTACTTTACTTTTACTGATCTTGATTAAAGTTTATTCAAATAGTAAATTTTATGCTAACTATATTTTAACGTAACTTTTTAAAAAGCACAATAATTCTCTCAATTCCATCTTGTAAAAAAAAAGATCAATTTCCATAAAATTTGAGCTTTTCACTTACCACCCTCCCCTTTGTTAATGGTCAGTCCCTGCCACTAATAAAAGAGAGTCTTGATGAATGTAACCAGGAAAAAGATTTCAAATTTGCTCCCAACCTCAGTGATGATTCTGACTGTCCTCCTGGGATAGTTTCCATCAAAGTAGCTTACCCTGTGCCCGAATTCTTCCCCCTGCTTCACTTCCCGAGGATAGCCGTTGATCAGGAAGCCTTTGGTGTTGCTGAGGTTGGCTGCCATGGCTTCCTTCAGAAGTTCCAGAATGATGCCCTGGGACAGAAGGAGAGGGATCAGCCTTAGTTAATCCACAATACCACAAAATACCATTAGAATTGCAAAGATCCCTTTTGCAATTGGTTATCCCAATAAAATAGGGAGGTGGGGAGAAGGGTAACATCAACCAAAAAGCAATACTATATATGTGTATATGTGTATGTTTGGGAAGCAAGTTAGTTTTTATTGAATGAAACTTGCTTAGAAAGACTTGGGGGAGAGAAAGATAAGTATATGTTCAAGAAAAAATACAGATTTCTCCAGAATGGAATAAGCAAGCAAAGATACGTGGAGACAAGCAAGGGAGAACATGGGCTTGAAGAGCAAGCCTCATACAGCAATATTATTTCATCAATTGCAAGTTTCCTGTTCATATATTTTAATGTCTCATGAAATTGGTAGATATCGTACAATCAGTGATGGGTCATAGCTGGTGGAACTGTTTTATTTACTTTATATATTTTTAACAGTTAGAGATTATGATGGCATCTTTATAAGTGGTATCTCAGATTAGCTGAAATTGCATATAGCAGTATTCCATAAATTAGGTATAATATGGTTTAAAACCAGGTATAATATGGTTAAGAATGTAGTCACTGTTGATGTCTTTCCAGCAAGTTTTGTATGAAATTTGGTGTCCATTCATCCAACTAAGCAGATACTTTCAGATGTAAAGATATATTTATTTGAGTATCACTTTCTCAGTTATATTTTTTTACTTTATCTTATTTATTTATATTTATTCATCTATTTTAGCTTTTAAACCATGCCTGAAAGCGCTCAGGGTTTACTTCTGGTTTTGTGCTCACAGATCACACCTAGTGGAGCTTAGGGCCATATAGGGTGCCAGGCATCAAACTCAGGTCTGCCACATGCAAGGCCGGTGACTACACACTACACACTATACTATCTCTCTGACCCATCAGTTACATTTTAACAATTTAACCCATGCTGTAGAATGCTTGCCTTACATGTGGCCAATCAGGGTTAGATCCCCAGCACTGCATATGAAACCTTGAGCCCATCAAGAAAGATGCTTGAACACAGAGCCTAGGGTAAGCCTTGAGCACCACTGGGAGTGGCCCCCAAACCAAATAAAAAATTCAAAAAAAATTTAACTTAAGCTTGTGAAAAAAGGGAGGAGACATACATGGAAGCTTGGGAATGCATGACGGGAAAATGCAACCAGCTGCTAACTGGGGTAGGTGCCCTGTTCTCTGAACCGCTGGCAGGGGCTCGGAGAATGCATCCTTCACAAGGGTGGTGATTAGCTTCTTATATACTAGCGAGGAAGATAGCAAATAGATGAATGAATCAGCACATGAAAGAGCCTGCTGGAGAGAATGACTAAGAACAAAAATTAAGGAGGACAAAGAGAAACACAATGTGTGGCAGGGGCTTCTTCAGACAGGATGATTAGGAGGCTTCTCACCACTTGGCACATTAAAGCAGAAATCTGGACGAAGAAAACATGCAATGTGATATCAAAAAGGAAGGGTGCTGGGGATGAGGAAATGGCAAGTACAAAGCCCCTGAGCAGGGTGGCCGTGAGCAGGGTCACAGAGGTGGGAAACTGTGCTCTGAATTTCATTCTCTGAAGCCTCTGAATTTCATTGTCTCTTTCTTAAAATTAAGAAAATAGATTTTTTACATTTTTGAAAATTTTAATTTTTTATTGAATCCCTGTGAGATACACAGTTACAAAGTTGTTCATGATTGGATTTCAGTCATATAATGTTCCAACACTCGTCCCTTCACCAGTGGACATTTCCTACCTCCAATGCCCCCAGTTTCCCTTCTACCACCGCCACCCCAACCCCCAATCCCACCTCAGGCTGCCTCTACGGCAGGCACTTTTCTTTCTCTCTGAATTTCATTGTTTTGTTTTGTTTTGTCTGGGGTGCACACCCAGAGATTCTCTGGACGTACTCCTTGTTCTGTGCTCAGAAATCATTCCTGAGTGCTCAAGAAACTATATGGGATGCCAGGGAGCGAACCTGGGCCAGCTGCATGCAAGACAAGCGCCCTATGTGCTGTACTATCTCTCTGGCCTATGAATTTCATTCTAAGTATAGCAGGAACCCACTATAAATTTCTGGAGAAGAGAAAACGGGTTGCTCACTGACCTTTTAGCCAACCTGCACTAATGATGGTGGGCCCCATAGGCTAGACCACACACCTCAGGTTTGCACTGTCACTCCCATGAGGAAAACGCCTATTGGCACGTTTCCCAGAAGCATCCTGTCATTAAGTGGCATGTGACTGTAACACAGTGGGAAAAGCTATTTTTCAGGGGTGGGAAAGTTCTTCGAACTGATGCTCAGGAGGCCAGGGGCCCCACTGGTGATTCTCAGCCTGCTGGGCCAGCAGTTCTGTATGCGGGTGCACAGAGGCGGTGCCGTTCTGGTCCTGAAGTGCTGGGGATTAGCAAGGGGCCTCCAGGGCTATACTATGGGGACCAAGGTCTTGGGGGACCATGTGGTGCTGGGGATTGAACTGGGGTCAGCTATAGGCCTTATGCCTTGTACTATCTTTCTGGCTCCATGATAAACATTGTCTTAAGGAACCACAGCATCTTCTAGATGCTGTGAAAGGAGGGAATCGAAGTGGGTGGAGTGGGTTGCAATGGTTTGATTCTGCTCAGGCAGACCATTCTGACTTCCAGATGGACAGCTCTTGGGGAGGAAGCTGAGAGCAAGTGGAGACAGGGACTGCAGTGGCCCAGCCCTGCTAAGAGAGCCCCTTTGGGGCCTGGGCATGAGTAAGTTTTGAGATCACTGAAACAGGAATTGAGACCAATGAGGCAGGAAAATGTTATTTTTTAGTTTTGAAAGGGCACTCTGCTTTGCTATATCATCCACTCTCTCGAAAGGCTCTGATTCTACAGTGAAGGTTACTGAGGCTATCAAAGAGGTGAGCACCCAGAAGGGTGGCCGAGTCAGCAGAGGAGAGGGACCCTGAGCTCCGACAAGCCATGTAAACAGAAGGGATGGCCAGGGCCCTCTTGCCTGTCTCACAGTTCTCACATGCATGCAAAGTAGGCACAGCTCATGCCCCACTGTGGGCTTCAGCCCTCTTAGCAGCTCCAAATAATTACAACATTTCAGAGTGAACCACCTGTCACTTACTGAAGGCACCAGGTCTCCGCGTTCCACGATGTCTCTGATGGCTTTGCTTCTCTCAGATTCTGTTGACAGCTCATTGCGCAGGAGCTCGCCCGTGGAGAGATGCGTAAATCCATATTTCTCCACCAGTTTTTCACACTGGGTGCCTTTGCCAGAACCAGGGCCACCTAGAAAAGAAGTCACAAGTCAGCTAAGGGTCTGAATTTCTCTCTCAGAGGGTGATTCACAGTGCTGCTTTGCTGATGGCTTGCTACTCAGACCTGGTAGTGCTTGGGGCCACACCTGGCAGTGCTGGAGATGGAGCATGGGGTACCAGGGTCCCAAATCAGGTTGTCTGGCAATTACTATGCCTGGACTCTACTGCTTGAACAATCTCCCTCTCTGACCCTGGTGTCTCATATTTTAATTGTTTTTGGGCCATCTCCAATGGTCCTTAGACATTCTGCCTAGTTCAGTACACAGGGGACCTTGCAGTGCCTGAACCTGGGACTCCCACATGCAGAACATTTGTTCTAGCCTAAGGAGCTAATTTTTGATCATGACAGGTATGTTTCTGCACCTCTGTCACCAAGTACATGTTGTATACTTATGAGGTCTCATAAGCTGCATTGGGGGTAGTTGGTGGAGAATGGTTTCGTCCCCACAGATCTTTTTTCTTTGCTTTTTGGGTCACACCCAGAGATGCTCAGGGGTTACTCCTGGCTCTGAACTCAGAAATCACTCCTGGCGGTGCTTAGGGGACCATATGGGATGATAAGAATCGAACCTGGGTTGATCACGTGCAACACAAATGCTCTACCCACTGTGCTATTGTTCCAGCCCCATCACCACAGATCTTACTGTCCATGGTAGAGTGGACAGTAAGCAATTACACTGTGAACAATTACAGCACTTTGTCTATGGAGAGGAGTTCACGCTGCTACAGGGATGCAGAGGAGGGTATATGGTCATGAATGGAGTGGTGGGGTGTAGCCTTCTGCTGAAGTCAGGGAAGTTTCCTATGGAACGGAAAGCTTTACCTCATGCAAAACATAGACCACTGGGCCTGATGGGTAGCAAATGCTCAGCAAAAGCCGGCAGCACTTGTCTTCAAGTCAACTGCCATTTTCAAAGACATTCTCATTGGAGATGTAAGTAGAGCACAATAACTTGCTGAAACATTTGAGAGAAGTTGCCTCATCACTCCAGAACCCTTCAGCATCATTTCCTCCAAGCAAGGAACCAAGTCTATCCCCTGCAGAAAACCTTCAGATCCCACTCAAATGTCAAGGGAGATGCCTTAGTTGCCCTAGGAACCTCCTTTATAGCCAGAGGCTCAAGTTCACAATCAAGCACTTCCTTTCATTGTCATGTCCCCTGGGTCTCCTTCAGAGTGGAAGAGTTCCCCTACTTCCCTGACACTTCTGAAAGTTATAGTCATTATGTAGAAGATCCTGCCATATGTCCTTCCTCCCTCCCTCCCTTCCTCCCTCCCTCCCTCCCTTCCTTTCTTCCTTCCTTACTTTTTTCCTTACTTTTTTCCTTCCTTACTTCCTTTCCCAGAAAACCCTCTGCCCTGGAGCACCTGGCACAGAGTATATTGCACATATTTGGTGCCTCATAAATGTCTGATTAAAGGGGGAAAATCTAAAACAAATTGAAATTTTATCATGGCAGTGAGAATTTAAGACATCTCAATTTTCCTGATTTGTCTCTCTTCAGTCTCAAAAAGGCTTTCTCAGAAAGAAGGATTCATTCAACCTCATTCACAGTTGGTGAGTGTGTTGACCTATTCAGTTTCTGTGGAAAAAAGTATGGAGACTCCTCAGAGCATTAAAAATAGAGTTCCAGGGATTTCTCCTTGGCATCTATTCCAAGAGCACAAAAGCATTAATTTGAAGAGATAAGATGCATACCTATGATCACTGTAGCACGCTTTGCAATAGCCAGGAAATGGAAACAACCCAAGTGCTCAATGACAGATAAGTGGATAAAGAAAATGTATATATAGAACAGAATACTAGTCAGCTTAAGCAAAGATAAACTCTTGTACTTTGCTACAGCATGGATCGAAGTAGATGGCATCATGTTAAGCAAAGAAGTCAGAAGGAGAAAGACAAATACTGAAACATCTGTCTCTAAGTGGCATATAAAGATACAAAGCAAGGGAAGGGCTATCCAACAGAAACAAACTCCTAGGCTCTGATAACAGAATTGAGTAGACAAAGAGGGGGATTGGGAATAGGGGACTGGGGGTGAGGGGGTGGGTGAAAAGGACCTGAAGACAGTGATGGGGGGATTTTAGCACTTTAGATATGGCGAGTAACATTGTGTGCAAAAAGCCTAAACATAAACACTATAATAAACCATGGTATCTTAACAATCATAAAGGTATTTTCTTGGGATAGTTGGCCTCTTCCTTCTTGAGAATCAATATTGGCAGTTGCCGCTTTATTTGTAGAAAGTCTATCCCTTCCCTCTGGTGCCTCAGCAAATAATCCAGGGGAAGGAGGCCATGTTTTTTTGTGTTTTGCTCATTTATTCAGATCTTGTAAAACAAAAGGGGAGGGTTCAGACCCCTCAAGATATTGTCACAGATGGGTCAGAGGTAACAAACAGGAAAACAGCAATGACAGAGGCTTGAAAAAAAAAATGCAGCCCTTGTAGAAGGAGTAGCCAATTGGCAGCTAATACTATATTGCTTCAAGCACTCAGCTCCTGTCTCCTGTGAAAATACAGAATCTGTGGGAATGGGAGAAGGCCCCCCCCAAGGAAGTGCTTCCAGATGACGGAGCACAGGGAACAGGGGGCTGGGCTCCTGTCGAGACCACGGGACTTCTGTGGCCGGATTTACCTGGAAACTCTTTTCCTGGGATGGCTGGAAGGCGGTCATGTGGAAAAGGTATTTCTCAGACAGCTTACACAGCAAAATTTCTGTATTCACTTATTTTCTTCTTTCAGCAGCCTACTAATATGACTATTATAGTTTTTGCTCCTCTAAGATGTAATTTAATAAACCTTGACACAAAGGCAATTAAAAATGCTTCAGCTTAAATGAACAACAGCTGTGTGTAGTCAGCAGCCTCTGCCCCAGTTAGGAACCTTTCTTGGGAGTGGGAGCAACAGCTGCAAATTCTTGGCATTCTTTGGCCAAACGGTGCAGGAAGAGCGGAATTTTAAGTAATCTACACAATGGTTTGATTCTTCTCTGGGGCTCCAAAACAGAGAACAGAGTGATTTTTATCAACTGCAGCTGAGGCCCCAAAACTGTTAGTAGAAATACGAAATATTTTCATGTCTTATCACTGACATGTCTTCCAGGCCTTAGCTGATGACTTTTCAATTAAAAAAGCAAAAACAAAGACAAAAACAACAACAAAATCAAGAACGAAAGAACCTTGATATCCTGCCAGGATAATTTGCTTGTCAAGAAGGAATCTTTTGCATTTGCCATGTATCAGAAGGAGTGGGCTGTGTTCCCTGGTGACAAATGGCTGAGAGAAGATAAGTAGCTGCCACAATTAATGTGGCCTCTTTGGGTCTGAGTGTGCCATTACTCAAGGCTTAACCCCCTGAACAAACTTTACCTTGTACCAGGTAGTGTGACTCACCAAGAGTTGAGGTAACGCCATTCCATTTTGATGCAATTCCATTTGAGTTGGGAAGTTTTAATTTAATTTTATTTTGTGGTGCCAGGGGGCTTGAACTCAAGGCCTCACATGTGCAAAGCAAGTGCTCTACCCCTGAGCCATATGAGAGATTCCATTGCACAGGAGGTTTGTCAGCACTCCCCACACACTCAGTGCAATATCTTTGTTTTCAACTTCCAACAACTTCTAATAAAATTTCCAAAAAAATTTTCCCTGGGAGGGTCTGGAGAGATGGTATATTTGCCCTGCATATAGCTAATCCCTGGCACTCATGTTGCCCCATTCAATACAGGAAGTGACCCCTGAGCATAGAGTTAGGAATAGTCACTGAGCAATTTCTCCCCACCCCACATGAGGCCAAAGGTGACAGAGCAAAAAAAAGCAAATTGGGATGGAGCGATAGCACAGCAGGTAGATTGCCTTGCACAAGGCCGACATGGCCGACCTGGGTTTGATTCCTCCGTCCCTCTTGGAGAGCCCTGCGAGCTACTGAGAGTATCTTGCCCACATGGCAAAGCGTGGCAAACTACACATGACGTATTCAATATGACAAAAACAGTAACAACAAATCTCACAATTTGTTGTGAGACGTTACTGGTGCCCACTTGAGCAAATCAATGAACAATGGGAGGACAGTGCTAACAGTGCAAACTTCTACCTCTCAGTGCATTATCCCCTGTGAGAAGTTCCCAGAGCACTGCAGGCACAGAAGGAAAGGACATAGGCTGCAGATGAAGTCCTCTCTCCAGTATTCTCTTCGGCCTCTCATACTTTCTGAGGCAGAACAAAAACCATCTGCATCACCAGGCCTGCACTACCGGGTCACCTTTCCCATCCTTCACTGATAGGAGTATCCTCTCTGAGGAAACAGCTCCTGAGGCACTAGCTGGGCTCTGCCTCCTAAGGTTCTATGGCAGGTGCTTGGCCTCAGGACAGCAAGAACGAGATGGTAAAACTGCTGTGTTTCCGCACATACCGGGTGCAGGGGGAAAACAAGTCCAAATAGATGAGGATGCCAAGAGCATAAGGAGATGACACTCAAATACAAGCCATGTATCTCAATCTCAAATACATGCATGTGTGTTTCCATTGCATTTTTATTTTCAAATGTTTTATTTAATTTATTTTTGCTTCTTGGGTCATACCTGGCAATGCACAAGGGTTACTCCTGGCTCTGCACTCAGGAATTATTCCTGGTGGTGCTCGGAGGACCATATGGGATGCTGGGAATCAAACCCAGATTGGCCAAGTTCAAGGCAAATGCCCTACCCACTGTGCTATTGCTCCAGCCTCGACCTATTTTTTTTTTCTTTTTTTGTTAAAATCTTTTAAATAGCGATGTCAGAGGGCAGGTTAGGGTGTCCTTTGTTGACTTTTAAAAAATGGTATCTTATTAATTGTAGGATGTATCCTGAAATGAAGCCCGAGACTTATGAATCTAGCTCTTCATTTGACAAATGTCTGCTGTGCAGCTGCTGAAGGTCAGGCACTATGGTTGGAGGCCCTGTAATTTCCTTTAGAGGATTCACAGTCTAATG